ATCCACATAATAAACATGCAAAGTAACATTTTTCCACGTGGTAGAGCCATGCTACAGTTATATATATCGTGGCTGTAACACGAATGGGTGTTTCATATGGTGAGGGTAAAACTCAGGAGACCCTTTTCACTGGAAACGAAATATTCTACATAAATCTTAGTCCTCAAGATTGACAAAGCATTTGCATTTTGATTCTTCATTGAGGGTAGATGTTGATGTGTATGGGATATTGCATCCACTTACCATTAGGACTGTGTGCCAGTTTGCCACTCTTACGATCAAATACGCAAATGCCACTTAATTTCAAGATGTCGTTAAGTCTCGTGGTGTCACAGTCACTTTCACTTAAAGTGATAGAGACAGCACGAGAGTATTTTGAAATTGAGCAGCGTTAGAATATTTGTGCATTATTCTATTTAAAATACAGACTATGTGATCTGAAAAATTTGTTAAAGAGGCGATTGTAACCAAGCAAAATTATACAAGCAAGTGTACAGTGCACGTAGATATATACTTTAATAATTACGCGAGTCGAAGCTGCATTATTATGTTGTTATTTTACACTGGCCAACTATCTGTGCTAACTCTGGCCAACTCTCTCACTCTACAATGGAGTCTCCAGTTATTACACACAAGGCGAGCTTACTTAAGCGTGCTGCAACTATACGATGTTACAAAGTAGCTCTATCATGTTAAAGTAAAAGTTCTCTGGTTCTCTACACTTTGAATACAAAATACGGTGAGAGTAATCTTTTTTTTTTTATATAGGATAAGGGTGACAAACGAAAACACAGTCCGCCTGATGGTAAGTGGTTGCTGTGGCCCATAGACACTAAATTTATCCTCGATTACGAATCATAATGCAGATGCGTTGTCACCCGCGAGGACTATGATGGAATGCCTCGTTTCCAGTAAAAAGGGTCTCCGGTTCTCTACAGTCACCATATGAAACACAGCAGCATTAAGCTGCTATTTTACGCTGGTATTCTGTGAGAGCGTAGTCCTTCCCCGGTCGAGCCGACCCATTCGTGCTACAACTATACTATTAATATAGCTGCAGCATGGCTCGACCACGATTTAGCTTTAAGGTAGTACTTTTCATTAGAGTCATGTGTTACCCCCCCCCCCCCCCCCCCTTCTACCTATAAGCCACTGCGCTACAATTATTAATGTCTGTACTGTGATCGCCAATCCACCAGCTCGTTGATGAATATTTTTTTTTATAGAATAAGAGTAACAAACGAGCACACAGTCCACCTGATGGTAAGTAGTTGCTGTGGCCCATAGACATCTACATCTATCTTTTTTGCGAATTAAAATGCAGATGCGTTGTCACCCGTGAGGACTAAGATAGAATGCCTCTTATCCAGTAAAATGGGTCTCCGGTTCTCTAAACTCACGATACGAAACACAGCAGTGTTAAGCTGCTATTTTACGCTGGTATTCTGTGAGACCGTGGTCCTTCCCCGGTCGAGCCGACCCATTCGTGTCTCAATCACATAATATAGCTGCAGCATGGCTCTACCACGCGACTTCTAAGTCTAGACCTTGAGAGTATATTCTGAAAAGCATCGGTAAATTTAACTACGTGTCTATACAATTTAATCCAAAGATCATAAGAGCCCTTTCATAATAATAAGTATCTCGCGATCTTTTACCGTAATATATCGTTTCGGTTTTGTTAACCTTGCCAATAATGACTTTATGATATCTGCAAATAGTAATAAAAGGCTAAGTAATACTTAAAAGAGCTAAAATCGTGACACCTGGTTAACAAATATTGTGTCAAGTGCATGTCATACAGCCCTCACCATGACCGAGTTACTTGTTCAAGTAATGGAGTAAGTGTTTGCAGTTCTCATCCATAATTATTTAATAAAAACGTGTTTATTTTATATGACAATGTTTTTTTTTCCAATTCTGATGAGAACCGGATTTCTTTTTACTGGAAACGAGGTATTCCATCTTAGTTCTTAGGGGTGACAACGCATTTGCATTTTGATTCGTAATCGAAGACAGATGTAGATGTCTATGGGCCACAGAAACCACTTACCATCAGGTGGACTGTGTGCTCATTTGCCACCCTCATTCTATATAAAAAAGTTTAAACCAGAGTTTTTTTTATATGATAGGGTGACAAACGAGCACACAGTCCACCTGATGGTAAGTGGTTTCTGTGGCCCATAGACATCGACATCTATCTTCGATTACGAATCAAAATGCAAATGCGTTGTCACCCGTGAGGACTAAGATGGAATGCCTCGTTTCCAGTAAAAAGGGTCTCCGGATCTCTACACTCACCATACGAAACACAGCAACGTAATGCTGCTATTTTACGCTGGTATTCTGTGAGAGCGTGGTCCTTCCCCGGTCGAGCCTACCCATTCGTACTACAACCATAAATAGCTGCAGCATTGCTCTACCACGTATAAAACAAGAACAATTATCTATATATCTATATATCTGTTACAATTAAGAAGTCTTAGAAATATGCGCATTAAAATATTAAGTATGGAATTCAACAGCGAAATTTGAAATTTCACGAAGGTGGTGGCGCCGCTGTTGCAGGTGTTCCCCCTATGAGGCAATCTGTGGGAAAGACCCATGTTCAGCAGTGGGCCTATTGTAAACCATTACGGCAATACAAGGCAAACCTTAGACTTATTATAAACAACTTAACTAGAAGACAAAAAAACGCGGTATAGTGTAAGTAAAATATGTTTTTTTTTTATATAGAAAAAGGGTGACAAACGAGTACACAGTTCACCTAATGGCAAGCGGCCGCTGCGGCCCATAGGCATCTACATCTATCTTCGATTACGAACCAAAATGCAGAAGCGTTATCACACATAGCCCTCACACTAAGATGGAATGCTTCGTTTCCAGTAAAAAAGGGTCTCTGGTTTTCTACACTCACATACGAAACACAGCAGCGTTATGCTGCTATTTTACGCTGGTATTCTGTGAGAGCGTGGTCCTTCCCCGGTCGAGCCCACCCATTCGTGCTACAACTATACCACTAATATAGCTGCAGCATGGCTCTACCACGTAAAAAAGTTTTGAAATTCATCTTAAAATTATAAACTGAGATGTACTACCTTTTCAGGCGAGACTACATAAATTAAATGATGCACTTGTCAATTATAATTTTGCCATTCACACGTGTAACTGTGACCTAACGAATACAAAGCTTGGAGGTTAAAGCAACACTTGTGCAATGGGGCTGAGTTGCGAACATGAAGATGCGTCACAACTCGTGCGCTATACCTAACGTGACCATACGTCCCGGTGCCCCTAAATAAGTAAAATGTCCCAATTTAACATTCAAAAGCGCAGTAGAGTGAATTCGGAGTCAAACTCATCCTGCGCCACCTATCGGAAAGGACAGGTTTATTATAAATTGATATCACTGTCAATTTATAATAAACCACTTGAGCCAATAAAAAATAAGACATTATTTAAATTTAAAAAAATGCTGAATAAGTTACTAATAGAAAAATGTTATTATAAAATTGATGGGTTATTGAATGAAAATTTTGACTAATTACTTTTATTGACTATTATAACTGACTTTTATTATTTATGTTACATATTGTCATCAATTTAATTTTATAAATGAATAATTTTATTTAGTATTCCAATTTAATTAATTTTTATTCTATTTTATTTTAAGACATGATTTTCAAAAGAACACACAATTATATTTGTATGTCTTTAAGACAAAACATAGCGCTCTAAACAAATAAACTATTCTGTGTTTGACAAATAACGTCTGCCAGGCCAGCTATTATGCACTTATAATATAATTTAATATTGTAATCTTATGATGTTTTTTTTTGATAACTCTCATGTGCTTAGATAATACATACATAATACATAAACACTCACGCCTGTCACCCAGAGGGGTAGGCAGAGACTACGGACTTCCATTTGGCGCGATCCTGACACACCTATCTCGCCTCTTTTACATCCATATATCTACGCATACACGCTCGTCGGTTAAGGGTACTCCTAATCTGGCCCATTTTTAATGTTTCGCCGATTTGGTCGATAAACCTACGTCTAGGGCGTCCCTTCCCGACCCTGCCGTTCACTTCTGCAACATAAATTTGCTTTGTCACCCTTTCCTCGTTCATTATTTCTACATGACCATTAATATAGCTTAGATAAGTCGTGATTAACTGTAAAAAAACACTCACGCCCGTCACCCAGAGGGGTGGGCAGAGACTACGGACTTCCATTTGGCATGGTCTTGATATACCTCGCCGCAATTGAGGGAGGGCGGGAGGTGCTCTTCAAACTAGGTAAGACACATCATTTTATTTTATCGAGCGGATGTACGCGAAGTAATTTTTTGCTAACTTTAAAATTAAAGTATTTATCTGTAATATTGAAATAACTGTCTCCTTTGAAGCTCAGGTGGTTATTTGCATGTTATGAAGACTATATATAACAATTTTTAAAAATGTTATCCGTCTGTCTGTCTGTCTGTCTGGGCTTAATCTTCGGAACGACTGAATCTATGGTGATGAAGCTTTACAAACAGATGGAGAGCAATGCCAAGAGACATCTAGACTATATTTTATACGAAAACTAGAAGATTTTTTTAAAAATTAAATACTGATATAATATATAATTGGTTTTTTATTATCTTAAATCTAAATAACGCCATATGAATAGGTCCTATCCAGGCGAAGTCGACGTATGCAGGTGGCTCAGGAACGTATGCATTGTGCCATCCTTCGGGGGTGGCCTATATGTTCAGCAGTGGACTTGTGAAGGGCTGTATTGCATTGATGATGATGTTCCAGGCGGAGCCGGGGGTGGCTAGTAAAAAAAAAATATTTGTTTTTCTGTTTATATGCGTTCTACCATTAGCCCAATTACGTTAAACTTTGGTGAGTTGTTCAGCGCGTGCCCGCGATTGTTTTAGACCAAACAGAAGCATTGCGTGCCGGGAAACTAAATTACGAGTTATGGTTGTATAAAATATAACTTACGGGGTCTTCAAATATTTCTTCTATCCTCGTGTAGATGTCCTTGCCTCGCTTCTGCCTCACCAGAAGATATATGTTTTCCACACCGGGACAGCACCTCAGGAGCTTCTCCACCAGGATCTTACCCAAGAAACCTTAAAAAAAGTTACACAGTTACTAAAGTTTAAAATAATTATACACGTTAGTTATTTATATGAATAATATTTGTGTCGTCCGGTTTTTGAAATTTTTAACAATTCTCAAAGTAATGGAGAATCTCAATTTAATTTTGACAATTGTGAACCGATTTAAATGATTCTGTTTTTTTTTTAAATATATCAAAGTTTTAGCACTTCATCACGATTTCTCCTTTACCGCTGAGTGAGCACTTAAAATGCAATTAACAATATATTGGAATCGAACTTGGGTTTCACGCGTGCGGTAAAATTAACACAGCGAACGCTTAGCGTTAATGTCTTTACGTTTACGATTAAAACCGTAAAATTAGTTATATTAAATGTACATTCTGAAAGGTTATACAATAAATTAAAAGAAACAAAACTAAAAACTAATTATAACGTGATACTGTATATCGTCATCATCATCATTACAGCCCTTCACAATTCCACTGCTGAACATAGGCCTCCCCAAAGAATGCCACAAAGCACGCTCCTGAGCCACCTGCATCCATCGAGTTCCTGCATGTTTTACCAAGTCGTCACTCCATCTAGTGGAGGGTCGCCTTACACTTCGCCTACCGGTACGAGGCTGTCACTCGATAACCTTTTTTCCCCATTGGTTGTCGGTTCTTCGACCTATATGCCACTTCAGCTTATTAATCCGTTGGGTTATGTCGGTCACACTGGTTCTACTGTGGATATCCTCATTTCTAAGTATATCACGCAGAGAAACCCAGATCATAGCCCTCTCCATAGCTCGCTGAGCGATCTTGAGCTTCCCCATACGGCCAGCAGTGAAGGACCACGTCTCAGATCCATAAGTCATCACTGGCAACACGCACTGGTTGTACAATCTAAATACTAAATACTCCGATTCTCTACTACACATAGCAGTAGAGAATCGAAGACCATTTTTAATATAATTTTAAATTAATAATTGTGTACACCCATATTCAATTTTTTTTATATTCTACTAAGCCAGCGCTTATCTACGATCCCACCTGATCGTAAGTGGTGATGTAGCCTAAGATGGTGAAGCGCACTGACTTAACAAAAGCCTTCAATATAAATTTTTAAAAATAACTCAAAAATGATTGGTCAGACCTTGATCAAATTTATATGGGACCACATGTGAAGCAACAGCTTTCAAATAAAAAAAAATAATCATTGAAATTGGTTCACCCAGAAAATAGTTATGAGGTAACATACATAAAAAAAAACATACAGTTAATTCCTCCTGTTTGTAGTCGGTAGAAAAATGAGACATTCCATCTTCGTCCTCAGGGATGACAATGCATCTGAATTTTGAATCTTTATCGAGAATAAATATAGATGTCTATGGGCCACAGTATCCACTTAACATCAGGTGGACTGTGTGCTCTCTTGCACCCTTATTCTATGAAAAAAAATATATACGAATAAAATAATTTATATTTCATGTAACATTTATTTCACTGTCTCGTTGGTCTAGTGATTGTTATCTCGACTGCTGATCAATGGATGCTGTGGCCCATAGACATTTACATCTTTCCTCGACTAAGAATCAAAATGTAGATGGGTTGTAACCCCAGAAGATTAAGATGGAATGCCTCGTTTCCAGTAAAAAGAGTCTCCTGTTCTCTACACTCACCATACGAAACACAGTTACATTACGCTGCTATTTTACGCTACTATTCTGCACGACCGTGTTCCTTCCCCGGTCGAGCCTACCCATACGTGCTATAACCATAATATATTCGTAGCTGCAGCATTATTTTACCACGTACAAATATAAATATATTTACGGTTACAGCTAGGCTTGCCAACTCCAAAAAAGACATTTCCGTGATTACCCAGCTCGACATCCGGGACTTGGGTATATTACGCGGTACAAAACACACCACATACACAATTGGTTAGAAAAAAAAACACATTGGTTATAAAATTCACTGCATTTTGTGATCAAAATTAATGTTAATTTGTAGTTCAGCCTTGACGTGGTCAACAAACAGCTTATTTCTGCTGTCTGTCCATGCATTTCCACAGAGAGAAAACACTCTCTCTACTGATGCATTTCAAAGTGGTATCGAAGCTACGGCTAAGGTGTAGTTGGTATGAGATAGATACTAATATCATATAATCACTGATTTCCGGGACACAAGGCGTCCAGCAAATGTTTACGGCGGGACGGTCCAAAACTGACCCAGAAGTGGGCGTCCCGGAAATTCCGGGACGGTTGGCAAGCCTAGTTACAGCCTATTAAAGTCCACTTCTGAACATACGCCCCCCGTATAGGTATATACACGCCCGTAATGGGAGTGATATTTGGTATAGTTTTTTTTTAATTTTAGTCGTTATTAAGAAGACGCTGGTGCCCATCTACTGATTTGTTTCCCTTTGTCGCCTCTTACTGTACCCACGAGATTGTATGAGGTGGCGGATATTTCTTACACCGTCATTTACATATATTTACATATATATATATATATATATATATATATATATATATATATATATATATATATATATATATATATATATATATATATATGTAAATATAAATATATTTTTATATGTTGTTTAACTAACCAAATATTGAAAACTTTAAACTTGGGACTCACTAAAGTAACCAATTGACTACTAATTTAGAGGATTTCGGACAAAACTAACACGGTTACAGAGTTCATGCGGCCACTTTCCGCATAGACGACACGCAACGCGAAATCTTTTATGCGACCTTAACCCACTTGCAACAGGTTACATAAGAAGAATGTTTGTGGAAAGCTTTAGCATAATTTGTGGGTCGCCGTTTAAAAATACGTTTCGCAATCATTTATTCAACGCATGTTTTTAATTTTAATACGATGTTGTCAATTTCGATACGAAAGGAAACCAAAATGAAAGGACTATTAATAATTGAGAAAAAATTTAAGTATTTCATGATTTTAACATCCGTTTGTGTGTCCGTCTGTAACAATAAGGGATAATAATCTTCCGCTCACCAGATGTCGCTAGTTGACACTGAGGTGAATTTTTTTTACACAATATCATTTAATTGGGAAATTAGTTTTAATTAAAAGTTTAGTTTCTAGAGCTATAAAATATAACTGATAGTACAGAAAGAAACATTAACCCTTTACATTTTTCGAATAAATTATCTTCTCCGCTATGAAATCTGTCAAATATTACACCTCCTTTTTAATTTTTTTTTGGCTTTACGATATTAAAAACTATGATAATAAAAAAAAACTAAAACTAGAAACTTAATTATCATATTATAGTACTACTCCCCGCGGTATCGTGCCAAGAACGCTGGCTGCGTTTTCCCGCTGAATGGCTACACTTAGCCTTTGAGCGAGGAAAGAACCAGCCCTCTTATCACCAGCAGATGATATAAAATATGATACAAATTACCTCCACGTTATCCGAAGAATAAGAGAATTGTGAAAGACACCCCTTCACGAATGCTCGTGTCAGTTAGAGGTAATAAAACCACATACAATTTACAAATTATTTTTTTTAATTAAAATATTTTTTTAATGTTCAAGTGTTCTTTGAAAAAAAGTTTTTTTCTTTACGTTTGAATACTGATTCTGATAACGCACTTAACGGGAACCACAAGATTTTTATTACATGTTGTATATATAACACCTTTTTTTTTATCTTTTACATTTTTTTGCGGGAACTTGACCGTCGGTGGATTTTCGCTTAAATATTGGTTTAAAGAGGATTTTGATACGTAAAGAGGTGCAATTTTGTGTATTCAATGTCTGCGCATGTGCACTATTTATGGAAACTATGAAACAATTGCCCCGATGTTGATATAAACCTCAAGTTATTTAGACCGCTTAGGCGCCTTGAGAACTTAGGATTCAGTGATTAGTATTACATTGGCTGCTTGCTGGTTTAATTTACCGTAAAATTTTTCCAGAAACTCTACAATGAGCCCTAACATTGTTTATATTTTGGAGAATGTACTTAACTACTTATGCATTAGAGCGTTGAGGAAAATAACTCAAAATTGCTGTTACTGAGCCTTGTCGCCCAAAAATACCTAAATATTCACAAATATGAAATTTTGGATTGGACTTTCTTATAATTTTTTAACTATTCTAAGTCAACGCTTAATTACAATTCCACCTGATGGTAAGATGATGTAGCCGAAAACGGTAAATCACCGATTTAGCAAAAGCCTATTCACTCTTGGCTTGATGACATTCACATTGTAATCGGATGGAAAGACAGATGATAACTTGTTATAAAAACCTTGCAGCTCGTCCCGACTTCACAAGGGTGCGATAACCAGTGTGACTATAACTATCTTTTTCAGCTAGATCGTCAACATTTATCTACTATCCATACAAAAATATGCATGCCTTATTCATGATAACTGTTCTTAAGAAATCTTTAAACGATAATAGATCATCATTCATCATCATTACAGCCCTTCACAAGTCCACTGCTGAACATAGGCCTCCCCCAAAGAATGCCACAAAACACGGTCCTGAGCCACCTGCATCCATCGACTTCCTGCATGTCTTACCAGGTCGTCACTCCATCTCGTGGGGGGACGCCCTACACTTCGCCTACCGGTACGAGGCTGCCACTCGAGAACCTTTCTTCCCCATCGGTTGTCGGTTCTTCGGGCTATATGGCCGGCCCACTGCCACTTCAGCTTACTAATCCGTTGGACTATGTCGGTCACTCTGGTTCTACTGCGGATATCCTCATTCCTAAGTTTATCACGCAGAGAAACTCCGAGCATAGCCCTCTCCATAGCTCGCTGAGCGACCTTGAGCTTCCTCATACGGCCAGCAGTGAAGGACCACGTCTCAGTTCCGTAAGTCATCACTGGCAACACGCACTGGTTGTACAATTTGGTTTTAAGGTTTTGAGGTATGTCTGACGAGAAGATGTGTCGTAGCTTCCCGAACGCTGCCCAGCCGAGTTGAATCCGTCGATTGACCTCTCGGTCGAAGTTGGACTTACCCAGTCGGACTATTTGTCCCAGGTAAACATACTCGTCAACAACTTCGAGCTTAGTGTTCCCAACAACTATCGGCATAGGTGTGACATGGACATTAAACATGATCTTAGTTTTGTCCATGTTCATCTTAAGACCTATCCGTTGGGAAACACTATTGAGGTCATTGAGCATAGTGCTTAGGTCCTCCAGCGATTCTGCCATAAGGACTATATCGTCGGCAAATCGAAGGTGAGTGATGTACTCGCCATTGATCTTGATTCCGTATCCTTTCCAGTCCAGAAGCTTGAAAACGTCTTCCAATGCAGCGGTGAAGAGTTTCGGGGATATGACGTCACCCTGTCTTACACCTCTCTGCAATTGGATAGGTTTCGTACTCTGGTTCTGTACTCGGATAGCCATCGTAGCCCTACTGTACAAGCACTTCAACACTTCGATATACCGACAGTCAACTTGGCACCGCTGAAGGGACTGCAGCACCGCCCAAATTTCGACGGAATCAAAGGCTTTCTCATAGTCCACATACGCCAGACATAGTGGCAAATTGTACTCTTCGGACTTCTGTACAACTTGCCGAAGGGTATGTATGTGGTCTATGGTGCTAAAGCCCTTTCGAAAACCGGCTTGTTCGGGAGACTGGAAGTCGTCAAGTCTGCGCGCGAGACGATTCGTAATGACTCTCGAAAACAGCACGTAGACGCGGCTCAGAAGGGAAATCGGTCTGTAGTTCTTCAAGAGAGCGTTGTCACCTTTCTTGAAGAACAAGACCACCGCACTTCTGCTCCACGCCTCCGGTGTAATGCCACCATGGAGGACGGAATTAAAGAGCTTCTGAAGGACTTCAAGTACCGGTCTTCCACCCGCTTTCAGAAGCTCCGCTGTAATTCCATCCTCGCCTGGGGCCTTGCCGTTTTTAAGGTGCTGGAGAGCCATCCTAATCTCGCTCAGAATGACATCCGGGATATCTTCGGAATAGTGTCGGATGAGACTCGCTCTTGGATCGTTACTCACACTTGCGTGTGGCTCCAACGATGATGTGTACAGCTGCCCATAGAACCTCTCAATCTCACTCAAAATCTCAGGTGTCCCGGAAACGATGCTGCCACATTCTGTCTTCAGCTTTGACAGTTGGCTCTTTCTGGCAGACAGATCTCTGGCAAAGACTTTGGAGCCTTGGTTCCGCTCGATCGCTTCTTCAATACGAGCTGTATTGAAGTTGCGTAAGTCCCGCCGCATGCATTTGGAGATCTGTCTGTTCAGATGCCTGTATGCTGTCAAGTCTGTTGAAGAATGTAGCTTCATCTCCCGTCTAACAGCCATGAGATTAAGAGTGTGATCGGAGAGTTTTTGTGTTCTTCTGCGGCGGGTCTTGCAGAACTTAGCTCCAACCGCATGGACAGTTTCCACGAGCTTGTCATTCATATCGTCCACTTCATTGCAGTCTTCTAGGCACTGAAAACGGTTTTGTAACTCGAGCTGAAAGGTTTCGGGACTTTGAAACAGAGCACGAGGGGGACGGAGCGTTGACTTCATTAGACGAGACCTCTCCAACTTAACGTTTAGGTTCAGTGTGCCTCTAACCATTCGGTGATCGCTACCAGTTTTCACCCTCGCGATCACGGAGACATCACTGAACAGTTGTCGTCTGGTCGTCATAATGAAGTCAATCTCATTTTTTGTGGAACCGTCGGGGCTCGACCAGGTCCACTTCCTGTGGGGCCGCTTCTGGAAGAAAGAGTTCATCATAAAGAGTCCCTCTTTCTCCATGAAGTCGGCCAGCTGCTGGCCCCTTGGGTTCCGTTGCCCTATTCCAAATTTCCCTACTTTCAGCTCACCGTTCTCTCTTGTGCCTAGTTTTGCATTGAAGTCTCCCATTAACACCGTATATTGGGTTTTGGAGGAATGCATGGCTCTAGAGATATCCTCATACATTTCCTCCACCTCCTCATCGGGGTGTGCCGAGGTTGGTGCGTAAACCTGTATGACCTTCAGCGAATACCGTTTGGTGATTCTGAGTATAAGGTACGCAACCCTCGTCGACACACTCCCGATTTTTACAACGTTGTTAACGAGAGACTTGTGGACGATAAATCCGACACCTCCTTGGGACAGATGGTCGCCCTCCCGGTGATAGAGCAAGTTGCCGGATTCGAGGATTACCGTGTTCTCCCCCTCTCTTCGGACTTCAGATAATCCTATAATATGCCAGCGCAACTTGTCTATCTCTTCTTCCAGCTCCACGATCTTCTCGTCAGTCCTCAGGGTGCGTGCGTTGTACGTTGCCAGGTCGAGTCGTCTAAGGTGGCAACCGAACCTCCACCGGAGATTCTTAGCACCCCCTGCCCCGCCGTTACCATGGTCGCCACCGTAGCCAGGAATAGCGGGGCCGCCGGGGACTGGGGGCCGTTTTTTTGTTGCTCTCATCATTGGGGGGTATTTGCCATAGTTGCCACGCTTGGCGAGCGGGTTGGCAACCGCAGTTTTTTTATTGTCATTTGGCTATTATCAGGAAGATGCTGCTGCCCATCTCCTGGCTGTTTCCCTTTGTCGCCTTTTACGACACCCACGGGAGGATATGGGGTAGTGGATATTCTTGACCGCCACTACACGGCACGAATAATAGATACTTAAAAGCAAATCGCATCAAAACCCATCTAAAGTGAACACAGAGAGGCTATAAGTGACTTCGTTTTAATTTTTTACTATTCCTTTTCCAATTATTTGTAGGTCATACAAATACTTGTCCCGTGCGGTATTCGAACCCTTCTCACTTTCATTTTCATTTCCTTCATCATCATCATCATCATCATTATTAGAGCCCTTCACAAGTCCACGGCTGAACATAGGTCTACCCCAAGGAATGCCACAAAGCACGGTCCTGAGCCACCTGCATTCATTGACTCCCTGCACGTCTCACCAGATCATCACTCCATCTAGTGGGGTTCATTTCCTTATAACTGCTAAAACACTAGAACAAAAGGAATGAGATGCTAATTACAAGGAATTGCTTAGCTTAGAAAAGCTTGCAACATTACAGTTCCTTGTCAGTTTGAAAAAAAATTTCAAGGAAAAATTTGACCGACTTGATTACGCTCTTTTCCGTACCGATTTAAATAATGCTAATTAATTACAAATACTGTCGGAAGATAACAAGAAATATGACATACGCTTCCTGCACTCAATGTAACGGTCAGCCAAATCATAAGCAGGTGGGGAGCATAATTAGTTTTGGAATAAATTTCAAGACCGAAAATTTAACCGAAAAAAAAATTAGGGAAGGATCACGCTTCCACAGAAAATAGTACATATTAAGAGCTTATAAATATTTTAAAGTGGGATTTAGGTATCATATTGACGATACTATGGTTATGTATTTTCAGATGTGAACGGCAGAGTAGGGAAGGGACGCCCTAGACGAAGGGTTATCAATCAAATTGGCGATATATTGACAATAGACCAGATTAGGAGTACCCTTAACCGAGGAGCGTGTATGCATATGTATATGGATGTGAAGTAAGCGAGAGAGGCGTGTCAGGATCGTGCCAAATGGAAGTCCATAGTCTCTGCCCATCGCTCCTCGTAACATAGCGTGGTTCATCGCCTATAGCGTTGGTCGTAGAGAAGAGGAACTCGTGGTAAATTTTATTCAACCGACTTCAATATAATTTATTAAGAGTAACTCAAAAACAATAAGTCAGACCTTGATCAAAACCACCAGCTTTCAAATAATAAAAGAATCATCGAAATCGGTTCACCCAGTAAAAAGTTATGAGGTAACACACATAAAAAAAACATATATTCGAATTGAGTGTCGTCTTCTTTTTGAAGTCGGTAGAAAAAGGAATACTTACCAGTAGCTCCAGTGATTAGTATATTCTTTCCGTTGTAAAACTGTTGTATCTCCGACAAACGATTACAGTCGTTACAGTGATCATCGATCGTCATTTTCTTTGTACAATCTATACAATAACTTTTATCAACGTCTATGTTTCTATCCATAGGATCTAACTCTGTTCGTTCTATCACAGTTTTATAAATTTGTTCTATATTTGTATTGCTAAAATTATTATTTCCGTTCTTCGTATCTGCGTCGAAAGCACCATTCAGTTTCGTCGTGGCCATTTTGTTTGTCTTCTACGATGATGCCATTTTCTGTGAACAATAAAAGTATGTAGTAGTTATATAAAAACTAAACATATCGCTTTCTTTTAGACATTCAAAGATTTTTTTGTTTTTTAATTTTTCAACTATCAATATATAATCCATAACATCGATAGTTACATTACAATTATTTTAAACATCTTTACTATGTACTTAATTTGATTATGGCATTAACATACGAATGTTTCTGAAGATCACAACAAGGAACGTCGATATATTATATAAATACAAACAAAACAGAGGCTCTCTCACCCTAAACTACTTAAGTTCAATTAATAGACATTCAAAGGATTGATCGATATATCTTGAATTATTATTATTTTTCTTATTTTTTCAATCATTAACGTACCAATTTTTCTGAAGTTCACAACCAGGAACATCGATGTATATAAATACATAGAAACACAGAGGCATTCTCTCGCCCTAAACTACTTAAATTCAAGTAATGTTTGCCTATGTGAAATTATGCTTTTGACTCAGTGACGTGACATATCACAATGACTGCACTTTTAGACGGTGATACACGTATATCATACATTACACATCAACAACCTTTTAAGTCCAATGGGGTTTCGCAATAATGCAGCAGCTGACTTACATACATTAGCTGATTACTATTAAATTTGCTCATTACTCATCGTAGAGCCTCATTCGTCAATCGGCAGAAAAATTTCTTCAATGAAAACCTCTCTACAACTAAATATTCTTACTTAGTTTTGGTCCAAAACAAGTAAACTTATAAACTCCACGTTTGCTTATCAAAAGTCCACAGATGCTTTTTAGGGTATATATATAATACGTTGAGGAGGGTAGATTGTTATTTTGATCTATTATTAGGAAGACGACCTAGTAAGATATTATGCGAGAAGTCAATGGATGCGGGTGGCTAAGGGCCGTGCTTTGTGGCCTTGGGGGAGGCCTATGTTCGGCAGTGGACTTATCAAGAACTGTAATGTTGATGATAATGATACTTAAGAAGTTGTTGTGGCCCATCTCCTTTTTCAGTTGCCCTCTGAAGTATATTCTTACACCACTACGAGTACTACACCCCAATATACGGCTTGTATAAATATACATACAAATATTTTCCATTTCAAATCCCTGTCGTTCAAATTTATATATCTAAATACGACTGACGACCACCTGTGCGATGATGTAACCCTGGTATAAATGATTACCGCTGGGAATCACACTGCAATGCGTTATATCATTATGAATAACACTTAAGAAACACTTTTTTTGCAACACACACAACACTAGAGCCGTGGTAGCTCAGATGGATAGCGCTCGCTGTAAATTTCACAGTACGCGAGCAACCCGGTTTCGATCCCCGCAGGCACCAATGAAATTGTTAATTGCATTTTTAAGTGCTGATTTACCATGTGCTCGGCGGTGAAGGAAAACACCTTGAGGAAACCTGCATGTCTGATAAATAAGGAAAAAGAATGTTTCGAAGACATGTAAAGTTCGACAACACGCGGGCGGTGGACATTTCCTTGTCCTAAAACCCTCTCAGAAATGAGAGGAGACCTGTGCTCAGCAGTGGGGACGTATATAGGCTGTAACTTTAAGCAACACTTAACATTTAGAGTTTAAGAAAACAACACGAATTGATCGTAAGCTGTAAAAATCCTAGTGAGAACAATGGATCACAGTCATAAAATTTCTGTATTGTCATCGGTCCTTGGTATGCAAATTTTCAAGTCCATCGACCGTGTCTACAAGTTGGTGAGAATTACATTAAAAGATTCCGTTACATAGATAGATAGATACACGTAAAACTAATAAAAGCGTATTAAAAAGAAGACATGGACTAACATAGTCAAACGTCTGAACGAAGCCAACCAAAACTCTTAACATACACCACACACCACAGTTACACAACTCCACGGCTGAACCCATCAAAATAAAATTGATTTATACCTACTTAATGATATACTTGCATGATACATTGCTGATTATATACCATAATGATATCAGCGGTTATTGACTTCATTTTTGATACATTAACAATTATTAAGTTTCAATATATAATTACGTTTATACGACTTTCAAGTACACTAAAAAACTGTACACGTAATTATATGTGTTATGCTTGAATTTTGAACTTTATTCATTCACTAGCTGTTCCCCGCGACCTCGCCCGCGTATAATTTCGGGTTTTAATTATATTGCTCAGAACCCTAATTCTTTTTCTCAAATATAAGTAAGTTACTCCTCAGAACATTAGCTATCTGCCAGTGAAAGTCCCGTTGAAATCGGTCCAGCCGTTTCGGAGATTAGCCGGAACAAACAGACGGACAGACAAAAATTTTAAAAATTGTGTTTTTGTTATAAGGACCGTATATACATTCATATGCATTTAGTAAAAAGCTGTTATTTTAACATTACAAACAGACACTTCAATTTTATTTATTTGTATAGGCGTATAGATTACAACCCAGCTATCGAACATACGCCATAGAATTCAGAAGCTATGTGGGTATCATTGGTTACTTTTTTAACCTCCGACGAAAAGAAATGGGTGTTATATGTTAGTAGTATGTATCTGTGTATATGTGTACCTCTCTGTGGCATTTCAAGGAGCAATGTCCTGAACGGATGAACCGATTTTGATTAAGTTTATTTTTTTTTGTTAGAAAGGTGCATGTTTCAAGAAAATCCGTTCAGTCGTTTGAAGATCACCAGTTCTTTTTATTTCGGGGATTTTGTAAATTTTAATTTTAATTATAGTTAGTTAAAGTCGGGTTTTACATTTTGTAGGTTTAATTTTTGACAGTTTCGAATGTTGTCTAAATTACATTTTTTTAAATATAGAATAACAAACGAGTGCACAGTCCACCTGGTGGTAAGTGTATGTTGTGGCCCATAAACATCTACATCTATCCTCGATAAATAATCAAAATGCAGATGTGTTGTCACCCCTGAGGACTATGATGAAGTACATCATAGTCCTCAATTTCCAGTAAAAATGGTGTCCGGTTCTTAATATTCACCATACGAAACACAGCAGCATAAGGCTGCTATTTTACGCTGGTATTATGTACGAGCGTGGTCCTTCCGTGGTCGAGCGGTCGGTGTTCGTGCTACAACTAATAGCTGCAGTATGTGTCTACCACGTAAACATTATATTTTAAGTTCTATAAGAGAGAATTGTAAATGATCTCATGAGTTTAGTGAACATACGTCTTATATTTCTATGTATTTAGGGAGAGAGAGAGAGAGGGAGACACATATCTGTGTGTGATAAGCTTGGGTCCCTCTGGTATTCTGTGAGAGCATGCTTCTTCCCCGATCGAGTAGGCCCATCCGCACGGCTCTACCACGTAAAATACACTAATAACTTCATCTCATATTTATCCCGTCCCTTATGGTTTAAATTTTTCTTCCAATTAAATGAGACCATTCTTGAGCTTATTTAATAATAAAAAATCCATAAAATCGGTTCGCAGTTGGCGCAGATATAGCGTAACATTTTTTTTACTATTACCTCTCTTTACTCTTGCCTTGAAGAAACACAAATTATAACATTAGAAACACACATTATAACAACATATAATTAATGTAAAGACGGGTACTGGCAAATTATTCCACTCTTATAAAAACAAATGTATAAAAAACATGGAGTCGAACTGAGAACCATCATGTTTTTTTGCAGTCGACTACAAAGTAAAAACTTGGCTAACCGCTATATCGAAATTTTATGTCATAATAATATATTTATCAATGATGCTATAATATTATTGCATACGTAATGATATGCAATATTTGTAAGCTCAAGGCAAGCAGTCGTGGCCGAGCGGTTAAGGCGTCTGACTAGAAATCAGATTCCCTCTGGGAGCGTAGGTTCGAATCCTACCGACTGCGTCTAATTAAATCTCGTTTTTTTTTATGATAACAAAAATTTAAAAAGATCTCGCTAAATTCTCAGCTGATTAAAATTTTATTAATGAGATATTTTAAAATACTTTTTTTTTTAATTTAAACTATACCTACAATAGTACGTTAAATCCTATGCGCAATAGAGATTTGTTAAACCGTAAATAAAATATTAACATTTACCTTTATATATATATAATCCTTCTGTCCGTGTGTATGTGATTAAACTCCTACTGAACTGCTGGACCGATGTTGATGAATTTTTGTGTGTGAGATTAAATTAATTCGAGAATAGTTTAGATTCATAATTGGACCTGGTGGTATTATGAGGAAAATATTTTTTATTTTTCTTGTTCATCGAAGTCGGCTTTTACTTTTTATGAAAAGTTTAACTTTGTTTAATGTGATTTCTTTGAAATTTTTAATAATACCTAATGGAACATCAGCGCAATAAATATTTATTTATGTATACTTTATTGTGAAAACCTTTATTAAAATTATATACGAGTTTAAAGTTGTTTAAAATGATTCATGAAATTCTTATATAGGTACACTTAACGATTTCATATATTTACACTAATACATACATACATAAACATACATAAAAACTCACGCCTGTCACCCAGGGGGGTAGGCAGAGACTACGGACTTCCATTTGGCGCGATCCTAACACATTTCTCTCGCTTCCTCCATATCCATATACCTACGCATACACGATCGTCGGTTAAAGGTAATTTTGATTTGGCACATTTTTAATATATAGCCAATTTGGTCGATAAACTTTCGCCTAGGTGCCTTCCCGACTCTGCCTTTCACCTCTGCAACATAAATTTGCTTTGTCACTCTTTCCTAATTCATTCTTTCTACATGACCAAATCAGTGAAGCATTCCTTTCTTAATCCTGATCACAACATCATCTTGCAAACGACACTCTTCTCTTATAAAACAACTTCTCTTCTCACCCTGTCATTCAGATGCATCCCTAACATACTCCTTAATGAGCGCATTTTTACAGCATTTATTCTACTCTCGTGCTTCTTCTGCCACATCCAACTTTTACTACCATACATAAAGTAGGAACTAACACACTAATATAACACATTGAATAAACC